AAAAAAAAAAAAAAGGAAGAAAAGTTAATAAGAAACTAATATTCTCAGTTAAAAGACATTACAGCTATGAAACAAAAGCAACAGACTATGAAGTATTCAAATAAAGAATTAGAAAGAGCTCTTAAAAATAAAAACATACAGAAGACCAGGAAATCTCAAAAGACGGGTCAGGAGATGACTGAGACAATCTAGAGAATAAAACAAAAAAGGCAAAGATGCAGAAAATAGGAGGGAACAACTCAACTGAATTTGTATCCTAGCAGTCAGTGCCATATCCATGTTGTGATGGGGAAGTTTTTAACGTCTATCTCTTCTGCTAGATTTTAAACCTACAAGAGTAGGGTTGGTGTCATATTTTGCTCACTACTGTATCCTCAGTGCCCACCTAACTTGTAACATACACCCGATGAGTATGTGTGAAATTAATGAATGAAGCAAAACATCTGTCACCTTAAGTTAATGTTATTTTAACTTTACTGGTTTACAGTTGCTTAAGAACTTTTCTGTTTGAATATACTTAACATTACAATAAAAACAAGACAAAACTGGAGATACACAAAACTTTGCTCCTTAAAAAAAAATTATTTAAGTTTGAAAACACTGTTCTGTTGCATTATACAAGGCCTGAAAAGGAGGTAGAGACAAATTTATAAAGCCTCTTTCAAAGACACCATGAAAAGGGTACAAAATATCTGGTCAAATAAGCAGAAGTGAATTTTGTTAACCAACCTAAAAATATGACAAGCCTCAGACATCACTGAAACTCACTGTACTCACTATTTTCAACTCAGCCACTTCTGACTGGAGCCGAGGAGCAGCCCATATCAGTGTAGACACGGATTCAGCCAGACCAGAATCTAGTTCCCTAATTAAGGAAAAAAATTAATAAAATTTAATATTCTTTGAAAGAAAACAGGGGCATCTGGGTGGCTCAGGTCATGGTCCCAGAGTTCCAGGATTAAGCGCCGTATTGGGCTCCCTGCTCGGTGGGGAGTCTGCTTCTCCCTCTCCCTCTGCTCCTCCCCTGCTCGTGCTCTCTCTCTCAAATAAATAAAAATTTTTTTAAAGATTTTATTTAACGGGGCTCCGTAGCTCAGGGGTTAGAGCACTGTCTCGTAAAGATTTTATTTATTTGAGGGGCACCTGGGTGGCTCAGTCGTTAGGCGTCTGCCTTCAGCTCAGGTCATGATCCCAGGGTCCTGGGATTGAGCCCCGCATCGGGCTCCCTGCTCAGCGGGAAGCCTGCTTCTC